GATATATAAATAAATATATATAGAGAGAGAGAGTGTGAGCTTATAGTAGGAATCGAAAAAATAATTCTACTTTAATTTTAGAATTTCATGTCCTGACCTATCAAATCAGAGGCAAGATCTATAAGAATGTTCTTCAATATAATCAAATGCTTAATACTAGGCCTTAGATATCAATAAAAACAGTATATAGTTAGAAAACATAATCAAATATCCAACGAAGCGGGCGGGTAATGGTTAGTATATATAAAGCTCTTTAGTAATGTAAATTGACATTGAAATAAAGTATATCAGAGTAATCCGGTATTATATATGAAAGCAAATACTTAAGTATGGTATTAGAATGGTTAAGAGTGTATTAGAGATTAAATAAAAATGACGTAAATGTTTGCCTGTTGTTACAGCTTTTATTTGGTTTTAACCTTATTTCTGCTATAGGTATCCAAATAAACCTTTCATGATCTCTATATAATAAATGATTTCTCCCTAGAAAAAAAAGTTTTTCGTGATACTGCAATAAATTTATTTTTTACAAAAAGTCGGTAAAAATGATATAGTTAGTTGAATTGAACTGAAGAGGAGCGCCAAGAACGATATGCCTAATGGGGTTCTAACCAACCTTTCTCGAAAACTCCACTTTCGTCATTGATCGTGATGTTAGATTTCTCCAGCTATTTTTAGAAGCATCCATATCGTCGACAAAAATGAGGCCAATTTGGCTGTATCGCCAATATTTCGCCAAGTTTTCATTGAAACATAATTATAATGTCAGGAAGGGGGGCGTTGCTTGCAAATTTTGCAATTTTTATCATAAAATAAATACAACAGAAAATAACATTAACGTATTAAACACCCAGATATAAATTATTTGCACTGTACCACCCCATTACACCACCCTTTGCTTAGACTCTTCCCGTATTAACAGTAGAAAGACTTTCACCGCCCTCTAGCGCATAGAACAATCTTCACTGATGGCGAAGCTTCGGAACCGTAAGGATGTACCAGCATGCGCTCCGATCCCTTTTAATTCTAATCTAAATATTAGTTCTCTAGTAATATATGTAAATGTTTTATATTATGTAAATTTATTATTTATTATATTATGTAAATGTTTTTTTGTGTGTAATAAACGTATTTTAATAAACTAATGGACTTAGTTAAGAACCCCTTCTCCCCGAGTGTCCCTTTATTACATTGGGTCCACCCCTTATAGCACTATTTTAAGATGTACGAAAGGGGTTGTATGATTTGTACAAGGAGGGGGGGGGGGTCAACCGTGTGCCTAACAGGGGTACCCCTCTAGTTTAAAAAAAAAACTTTTTTTGAACGTTAATTCAATTTATGAAAAATTAAAATTTTTTCTTTTATTGTAAATAAGTTTTAAGTCTGAAGGTCTAATAGCTGATAATTTTTTTTTATAACGCCCCGCAATTCTCTTGTGGGTCGATTTTTGAAAACATTCTTAAGCTAATTTCTACTCAACCAAAGTAACACATAGTTACACATTTTGCGTAATGAACGCTTAAAATAGTGTAAATAATTTATATCTAGATGTGTAATACGTTAATATTACTTCCTGTTGTGTTTATTTTATGTTAAAATTATAATATTCGCAAGCAACGCCATTCCTTACATTATAATGGCGATTCAATGGAAGCATACCGAAATGTTGGTGACAGAACCAAGTTAGCATCATTTTTGGCGACCACGTTGGCAACTTGGCGATGGATTGAACGGTGCAGAAGTTAATATGTTGTATGTTGTAGCGTCATCAGGTAGGGAGCTGCAACGAAGAGGATAGCACAAAAACCTTTTCCACAAAAAATACATATACATGCCAATTTTCATAGTGATCGGTTGAATGGTGTGTTGGAGTGAAGCTATTTCATATATACAAATATTCATTATTATATACATAGATAACATCGTCTGGTGTTGCATAGCAACTGTTTCCGTAACTAATTAAAAAATAGTAAAATGAAAAAATAAATAAAAAAACGGCGTGTTTTTGATTATGTGTTAGAATTATCGATAACTGATTTAGGGGTTTTTTCACATTAAATTAGTAATATGCTCATACTACGAGCTGATAATAATTTTAGTTTATAATTAAATTTAATAGAACTCTTTCCGTTTTTATTTCGATAAAAAATATTAATTAAGGTCTCGTCGTATTTCGGTTCGCGCAGCGTATCTCCTGGAAAAAAAAATGATTCTAATTTTTAAATAATCCATTTTAACGCAATAAGACTCGAATATCCTAAGTTGAATACGAAAATACATTTCTTTCTTTTATTTTTCTCTATCTGCATAAAATATTCAAAGCCTTTCGACTGAAGAGAGTGTCTTCTTCATCTAAATCGAACACAGGAAGCGTTGCCATTAAATATTAAAAGTAACAAATTTAAAAGAAAGGGAAAATGCCTGAGTTTTGTCCTGCTATTGCGCCTTTACACGCAACTCCCTTACAATGACAGCGAGTCGATTTCGACAATCTCGCCTGCCTTCTAAAAGAGAGAGTCATTAGCGACACCACTTCCTGTGAAAGTACCCCGACGGTATTGTTTGCATGCAATTTACTGGCTTTTCCCTCGTGTATTTAAATCTAAGTATTTGTCGAGAACGCCATATGGGACAGGGGAAAATGTCCCTTGTTGTTCCGAGTAGAGTTGTAAAGCGGTTTCGGAGTGACTAGCGTTCGTGGGTATTGTTTTGGGAAGTTTATAATGAATGGTTTATAGGGAGGGATAACAGGGCTAAGTATCTCATGTTGTGTTTCTGTGTATTCTTTTTTAAAGGCGCTGATTATCGTTGTGGTTTATAATGATTTCCCAGGCTAGATATGGAGAGGTCTGAAAGTACAGCAGATTCTTGATTATTAAGAATGAATGGGAGTGAGAAATATGGGATGACAAAAATCCCGGTTAAGCCATTGTACATGGAAATTCAAAGATTAGGCAGGTGCAATGTTTAAATTTTTGCCGTTTGCTTAATTTATCCCTGCTTTAAATAATGCTTTACAATCATCTGCTTTGTCTTTTTAATAGCTTTTCTCCGAATGGGGCTGTGTGGATTCTTAGGGAATAATTTTTTATAATAGTTATTATTTCCTGGTGCTTTAAGCAATCACGAAGAGCTTCAGCGTGCGTTTGCGCTGAATTGTGAATAAAAATCTACTCCGATATAAGGGCTACCTCCTTTGCTTCAGCAGGGCTTGGCTCATCTAGCGAAATTTTAGTAACGTATGCTGCAGTGTCAATATCCATTAAATATTTTTTGCTAGAATGAATTATTGCATACGTTAAAGAAAGACAAAAATCTAAAAAAATCCAAAGAACTATAGAAAAAAAATGTTAAAAATGCTTTAAAAATTTATTTATATATAATAAATGTAGAATAAATTACCTTTAAAGCAAAACGCAAGATACAAATATAACAATAAATCTCTAAAGTTTCAGGTATCCGAACACTTTTGGAGTACTTTTTAACAAAATAGCATAGTTAAATATTATAAATGCTTTTTAGGACTCAATACCAAGAAATACTAATATTTAACTAACAATATTTTTGAAAAAATATATCTAAGTATTGCAAAAACCACAATTATAAGTGAAATTTTAGCAATAATTTTGAAAAAACCTCACCGCAATTAGAGAAAAAAGTAATAAACTTATATTGTAAAATTATTACTAAAACAAATTAGATGCATTTATCTAGAAAATGTACTAACATTTATTAACATCAAAATTTAAAAATTTTAGAGCTGATTGAGTAAACATTGTAAGAAATGTAACATTGTCCATGAGACCATTATTTAAATAACAAGCCATAACTCAAAATGTATTCATACATTAAGAAATATTTTAGTACATTTTCTAAGAAATAACATAAATATCAGGTTCAAAAATTTTTACAGAAATACATTCGTAACATTTTGAGTTATCAGACTTGTCATGATAGATTTTGAGCAATTTTAATGCCCACTTCTGGTAGATTAAAGACCCACTTCCGGGTTTTCTAACTTTATAAAATTAACTGTAACTTGGCCTCCAGGTAGAGTAAAAACAAAACAGGGTATGTTTGTAAAGCCAAATGATAGCTCTATTCAATAAAATAAAAAAAAAATATCCGTCTTGACCAAATTTGGTCATTTTCAACATGTTCGGATACCCTTAAGAATATTACATGATGCATTTATTATCAAACAATTCAAAATACACATTAGAAATATATCATCTTCATTTAAAGTTAGTTCTCGTATAGTCAGTAGAACTAGTCTGTATTCTGTCCGCAAATCTTGAATATATCTCGGTATATAATTTTTAATTACTAACTTGCACTGGATTCTTAGTGCTCGTCTGTGAAACGGGAACTATATGTTACCTTAGTTATATTCATCATTGAAAATGCATATTCACACAGGTAGGTCAGTTGCATGGAATGTGAAAAGCCAATTCTCCAGTCTAGCTGGTGTTGTTGTTCCATAAATATGTTTTTTTTTAAAAATATGTGCGTCTTAGTTCTCTCTTAGTAAAGGTGGCTACCCCAAAATGTCTTTCCGGACCATCGGTCGTTCACGATCGACTTAAAGACCACTCCTGCTCTATAAGAAGCTAAAAAACTTTGCAATTTTCTTTTAAGTTTTTCGCTACGTACTGCTGAAGCTAAAAAAAGTGGGAATTCCCTTTATTGAACGAAACTGAAAACAAGTAATATAAAAAAAATTAAGTCGATTCCTACTTAAGTCAACAAAGAAAATTTTATATTTGTTACTTTTTATTAAATAGTTACAATTAATATAAATATGTATATACATATGACACAGAATCGCACTATTAAGTAACAAAATAGAAAGCGATTTTTCTTGCAATTTTCCATTTTCCTTTCTATATAAGGTGTCGGACGATTTTTTTTGTTTATTACTATTTATTCATTCATTAAATTTAATTATTCTAATAAAATAGTACAGTTAAATAGAAATCACATTCTCAGAAATTAGGCCATTTCAGTGGGATTCGAACCCACGACCTTTGGATTAGAAGTCCTATGCACTATCCATGGCTCTACAGGGACACAACGAACAATTTTCCTTTCTATATATGCTGTTGAACTATTATTTACGTTTGTTACTGTTTATTCATTTTTAAATTTAATTAATGAATTAATATTTGAAAAAACTGTGTATTAATATCAAATGTCATCCACTACAAGTTTTAAAAAATGTTTCTGAACTTGATTAGATGAATAGAAAGTATTTTATAAACGATTTAAAATCTGAACAAGATATATAAATAAATTTATATATATATAGAGAGAGAGAGTGTGAACTAATAGTAGGAATTGAAAAAAATCCAAATGTGAATTCCCCTAACTGAACGAAAATGATATTCAACTTTTTTAGACCATGTAGTCAATTCAAGTTTGTGCCGTGTCATATCGAATCTGCGCTTTACAAGAACCGTGTTGTACTACAACTCCTGTGCACAATTTTATTTATCTTTTCCTTGTCTAATGAAACTACACATTTATGCATTATCCCCAAAGCTAAACACCAACCAATCAAGGCATTATGTCATTTTCGAACGCTAAGCGAAGGAAATTCTGTCTTTTACTCCTAACTCCAAAGATACTTATGTTGTATCCATTGCCCACAGACATATCTAATGACCAAATTAAGGATCGCCATCCCACGGATAACAAGACTTAAACGCAGCGACTAAATCAGCAGTTTCTCGTAACAGCACGTCGCTGCAGGGGTTTCTTGCATCTGTGACTCGCCGAACGTATTGTTGGTTCATTAGATCTTATACACAATAATTAATAGTACCGTTGCTGAGAAAAGATACCAATTCGGATGACTCGTTGCTGGGAATCTTGAGACGCACATAGTTTGAAACAGTGATGTCCCTTTTATGTGTTATTTTATCCATAGAATGGATTAGATGTCTTCTGATTATTCGATTACTAGACGCACTTCTCTTGGATAGATCGGGTGATGAGAACTTTTACATTCTAATTAGAAGGTTTTTGAATTACTGGTCTATGGAACGATTATAAGAGTACAGTGCGCTTTCAACAGATAATGTACCAAGGCCTATTTTTCATTTCCTACTATTAGTTCACTCTCTCTCTATATGTTTATATATTTATTTTTTTTGTTCAAATTTTCAATCGTTAATAAAATACTTTCTATTCCTCCATTTAAGTTCAAACAAAATTTTTTAAAACTTGTAGTGGAGAACACCTGGTGTTGATACACTATTTTCAAATATTAATTCATTAATTAAATTAAAAAGGAATAAATAGTAACAAACACAAAAATAATAGTCCAACAGCATGTATAGAAAGGAAAATTGTTCGTTGCGTCCTGTAGCGCAATGGGTAGCGCGTTGAACCTCTAATCCAAAGGTCGTGAGTTTGAATCCCACCTGGGATGGCCTAATTTCTGAGAATGCGAATTCCTTTTCCTTTTTATTATATTAGAATAACTAAATTTAATTAATAAATAGACAGTAACAAACAAACAAAAATAGTCTCAACACCATATATTGAAAGGAAAATGGAAAATTGCAAGGGAAATAAATAACTTTCTATTTGGTCTCTTAATAGGCGATTCTGTCATATGTGTATATAGATATTTATATTAATTATAAGTATTTAATAAAAAGTATCTAAAATATATATAAAATGTTTCTTTGTTGACCTAAGTAGAAATTGACTTAAATTTTGTTTTTATATTTATTTTCTTATATCTGACTACCCTAAAATCATAAATAATGCCAAAAATTGACGAACTTTTTCTGATTTTATTTAACAGGCCATCTTATTAGCTTAAAAAATACCAAGTTTGTTATTATACTTTCACTAGAACAAAAACTATAAGTGCTTTAGTAAAAGCAGGTGTTATTACTTTAAGCAACATGTTACACTTTAAAACGCGTTTTTATCGAAATGTAATTTTTTAAAAAAAATAATCAAACGAGGTCAGCGATCGCTAAAAAAGTTGTGAAAATAATTTACTGAAATTTTTCGTGTAAGTTCTGTATAATAGTAGAAGTGTTTTTACCTTCAGATTTATCAAACACAGTTTTATCACAAAATTTACAGTTCTTTATGTGAATATAATCACTGTTATTTTTTAAGCAATTTCATATAATAACTAGGATAAAGTGCTCTAGTTTTTGTAAAAATTAAAATATATCTCTTATCCTAATAGTTATTTCGGCAATGAATAACATAGTAACACATCAGAATTGGAAAAATTGAAAATTTGTTTATAAATCTTTGGTACAGAATGGACCGCGTTTATGTTATTTTTTTTTGTCAATTTTTACCCATCGGTTACTATCAACGGTTTTATTGTTCGATTTGCAGACGATATTTTTATCAATACATTAATAACCTCGTAATATTCTGAAAAAGCAGACGACTTTTACAAAGCATCTAAAATCAAAATACAAATATAAGAATGACGCACGAATTAAAACAAGTTCACTTTACTTATTGGCATTTATTTACAAATAATATTTTATTGTAATAAATTTACCTTTCCTGTTATTTAAAGACTTCTACTCAATTTCCGTTTATATTTCCTTAACGAAATAATAACCTGATGAATTTTTAATTATGAAGTTGTAATCTAGAAATTTTAATTCCATATGAAAATTCGCGCTTCATTGATTAATGGGGGACCATAAATGTGGGGGAACCCTCGATTTATATCGTTCTGATCCCCCTGAGAGTCTTCTAAAGAGCAAACGAAGAGGAATATTTGATGAAAAGGGAATTTAATATGCGAATAAATTCATTACAAATTCTTGTTAATGATCTTATAAGTTTATTAGCCGGAAAAGATTATAAAATTTTATTCACTGTGAATCGATGTATTTTGTGCGAGTTAATCCTTTTGGAAAATAATTTAGTTGTTTAATTTCGTACGGATGTTTTAATTACTAGTGGGATCTTTTAAACTGAAAGGTTTGGGAGACTTATCGAAATTAACTTATTAGTTTTAATTTTATAACCGTTATTTTCTAATGAGATAGTTTGAAAGTATTCGTTGAACCATTAAATGCTATGTTTGATTTTAATCTGAGTTTTATTCAGTTCTATAAGAGAGAAACTTTAAATTAAATGAGTTGAATACGTATTTTATAAAGAGATTGGCGGCAATTATATTCGGTATAGATTTTGAGTAAATATATCGAGTTTTCCCTTCTTTTTTTTGTTTTGAACTTTCTGTAGAATTTATAGTATTATTACTTTGTATTTGGTTTCATTTTTAAATTATTAGTTTTTTTATGATGTTAAACGATATATATATATTCTGATCATCGTTAGGAACATGGATCGCTGAGTGATCCCCTATCCCATATCGAATAAATGTTCTTTGGTGAGCCTGATAAGAGGTGGCTGTCCGTGTTACGAGAGCAAGCCTTCTGATTGGTTGGTGAGGAACTGGCAAGGTGTGGAGCTACATCTGCTTGGTGAAGCCTCTTGTGATGTAGACATTGGAGTCATAATCAATGAATGAGTAGTTGTTTTGCTATTGGTTAATAGTTGAAAGTGAGCTGGCTCTAGATTGGAAG